TTAAGTCTCTGCAGAGCACAGGAATGTGTTGTCCATTGCAAAAGCAGCGACGGACAGCACTGTATTCCAGCCCACGCTGTCCTCAGCTCCACCCTCGGGACAAACAAAACGAATGCGTGCTCTTACACATTGGGATGTCATGATGAACCCACGCATTGATGAACGATTATTGATTCTGACCCTAACCAATGCGTGCCCTTGTACAGCCCTTTATGGTTAATCCACTGCTAGATGAGAGGCCTCCTGACGCCATGTGGGTCACAATAGGGGGTCCATTTGACCATGCCTTACCACGCTGGTCAGTGCGGGTTGGTGAATGCGGGAGCATAGATGTACAGTGCAACAGGGGCTTTTGCTGCGCTGCCCTCTGCTGCCGACAACATTGAACAGCTGCACGGCATACTCTTAGGTTTTTTCGGTAAAGTCACGTAGGTAAAAATAAATAAATAAAAATTATTAATAATAGAAATAAAATAATAAATCACGACGTTTCGGAGGCAACACAAGTCTCCGTCATCAGGTGGGACCGTCACAGCTAGATTTACAGCAGCCTATGAGAACCTGTTTTGTGCATGCTGGGTTGCCCATATAAACGCTATCCAGGCTCGACACTGCTTAGCTTCCGAGATTTGATAAGATCGGGCAAGTACCGGGCAATTTGGTCAAAGGCAACCAATGCAATGCACGCATCAAACTTCGTAATGTACAAATTAATGTATTTTTTATTGCACAAATATCATGTGCAATTGGTTCACTTGACACCTAACTAAAATCAGGGCCATTACATCAAGCCACCATGTATAATAAAAAATAATAGATTCTGTAATTGAATCGCGGAATTTGACCACGTACAATGACGACCTGGGGCTGGAGCGGTGGCGCAGTGGCTAGCGCGCTGTGCTCCGAAATCCAGCCACCTGAGTTTGATTCCCTGCCACGGCTAACATCGGTGGCAAGAAAAAAGATCCCAGGCAGCAGCCCGGGAGCATCTCCGTGTCATCAACGCGAGCTGACAGGCTTGGTCACGGCATCATCATCATGGCTTGGCTTCGCGAACGAAGATCTAGGAAGGACATCCACGTCTTCTGCAGCAGGCACGCTGGTGGCTGACGAGGCCTATGCGGGACAAGCAGGTCCTGCCACAACAGCTGCAAGTATAGGTCTGATCTGGGATGGGTGCTGAGGGATCATGGTTCTTCCTCCTTCTCCTTTTGTCCTCCATACGGGCCCTGCGGGTATCTTCGAAGAAGGAGGTGGCCTGGTGGACTGTGTGCCGCCAGAAGTTGCGATCAGCTGCTTGTTTTGCCCACTGACGGTGATTGATGCAGCAAGCAGTGAGGGACTTCTTCAGGGAGTCTTTGTATCGCTTTCGTGGTGCCCCTATGTCGCGGCATAGCGAGGCCTCAAATGCAGCGGCGCATTCATGAAGGGAGCCAAAATAATAAAATCTGACGGTTCTTATTTAATAAAGTTATACACGCAAAGCGCCTTAAAACCACGCGTGGGAAACCCGAGCCTGCAACTTAGTCAACACAGAACTGACCGATCGGCACCAGCCAGACAGTAAAACAGGATCATAACAATTTACAGGCCACCTGTGAAGTCAAGGGACTTGCATTTGAGATGCGAAGTCGCTCACTTCAGCAGCGACATTTTTTCTTTTCGCGAGCGGCTTCACCACCGCAAGGGTCCGCCGTGAAAATATTAAGCGGGCGCTGAGCAGTAACCATGTTAGCAGCGGTAAAAAGGTGAATAAGGAAGAGTGATTTGGAGGCAACTAATGGCCACAATAAGTGAGTGAGTGAGAGGCTGGAGTGAATCAGTGAGCGGTGGGATCATCGATCTACGTTGATTTACGTCAAGCCAAGTGAGGTAGGGAGACTCGGTGCTTCACCCCAGATATGGCAGCGCAGCACCGAACGCGCACCGGGGACTGTTTGGTACAACGCCGGCGACACGGGCGCCTCGTCGAACGGCGACGATGTCAGCTGCGCCCCCACGCCGCCCTCTTCTCATCTGTTTAATCGCACGGGAACCAAGTTTCAGAATGCCGACAGCCACGCGCTTCGCGGAGGGTGCGGGAGCTCGGTTGTATCTGACAGCAGAATGAGTCGTTTGCGGGAACGTGCGACGGCGGCGCCTCGCGGAGAGAGCGAGAGAGAGAAGCGCGAAACGGCCGCGGCGACGAAACTCGCGCACACGCTCGCCGCCGCCGCCGACTTCACGTGCGTTTATGTTTGACTTTTGCTTCCTTATTTATTCCTGGAGGGAATCCGATGAGCTATGAAGCTCTTTATCACCAATTTCAAGGAGTTTCACGGATGTCCAGTGGTTTATGAAGCCGTATATCTCATTCGTTGAATCGGACAAACATTCCAATGTGGAACCTCCTTTTCAAAAAATGGTCTTGTGACCTAGTGAGGCTTTCCTGGGTAAATAATTGTCGAAGTCTGTTCATAAGAGAAAACCTGTGTAAATCTCATGACGTACCTCTCCTCCATTGTCTATTGCCGAGTCTGGCTAAGACATGCTCCGGAGCTGTCTCATGCTTCCACGATTTCAACACTTCGGATGGGGTGTTTTTTTCACTCTCTCTCCCGTGAAAAAAAATTACTACCTGTCTGCACGACCACTCAACTGCCTCGCCCCTACAAACAACACGACACCCACCGTGGAGTGTTTAGACATTCCTTTGTATTCTGTTACCTCGACGTGAAACCCACTACATTCTCTCATGCCGCTTATAGTCCCGCGGTAAACCTAACAGTTTCGTTCAACGCGCCGCACTCAATGACTGGGCCATGAATGATACGCAACTTTTGATCAAAATCAACATTAACGGTATTAATCGCAGCAAGAGTTGCGCTTTTCCATCCACTGCTGGATGAAGGCCTTCCCACGCCGCGCTGGTCATGGAAGCTATTTGACCGTACTTCGCCACGCTGGTTCCTGTGCGGTTTGGCAAAAGCCACCGGGTGAGGGTGTGGCGATGGTTTCGGGGACTAGCTGGGATGTCGCTCGCCACTGATGTCAGCCGTGGCTGGGAATCAAATTCAGGTTTGCCGGATTCGGAGGGCGCGGTGCGGTGATAAACACCCACGCCACTTCCCTCCTGCGGCTTACATTCAAGAAAAAAAAAGTATTTATGGACAAAACAGTGCAAGGACACTTAAGACATTCACCTAAAAATAAGAAATATATATAATAGCCTATGTTTTTGACAAGAACCCTGGTACTATAGCAGTTACCTACATTATAATATAATAAAGCACAGCCACTATGAATAAGCTCCATTTGCCGAAGCATCGCCTATCAAAGTGTTACAAGCTGGGAGTGTTTGTTTGTTTGTGCACCACTGCCAATGCAGTATAACTCACTTTGTGTTTAACCACGACCCCTATGGCCTGCTGTCTCGAAGGAAAAACTCTGTTGGAATGAGTCCCAGAGAGCTCAAGGTCCACAGCGATTGTTGTCGATAGTCGTAATATGACATCACCAACGTACACCGGGGGATTGTCAGAGTTAAACTTTAGCCCGCGCCCGGATGGGTACGTGCTGACAAATTGGACACTAACGCCACTTTAACACACAGCCTTTCGCGACCAATATTATTCATAATCAACGTTTTTGGGTTTAGATCGCGTTATTTATAAATGTGTCATAACCCTCCACCACCCGACACGGCCAATCAGTAAAAAAGTGTCACGTTGACAAAAGACAAATAGTTCACTGCTTTAGCCCACCGGTGTGTTGAAGCGTGAAACCACAACATTTACAATTTGAGTACGACCATTCTGGCGAATTGCCCGATGATGCTGGATGCAATTACCAGCGAAACGTCGTACTCAAATTGTAAATGTTGTGGTTTCGCGCTTCAACACACCGGTGGGCTAAAGCAGTGAACTATTTGTCTTTTGTCAACGTGACACTTTTTTACTGATTGGCCGTGTCGGGTGGTGGAGGGTTACGACACATTTATAAATAACGCGATCTAAACCCAAAAACGTTGATTATGACTAACGCCGCTACTTTACGAGACAGGGACGAACAATTCGACACATGCTAAAGTGGTTTATAGGCGTGAAGCAATTGACAAACCACTCCCCCGTGACGTGACGAACCGTCACAATTCGGAGTCACTGTTTGATGAAATAACCTGTCTCTTTAATCTTTGGTTCTTTTGGTAAAGTATCGTAGATTGAAAAATAAAATAGAATAATGTATCACGACCAACTGTCTCTTTTTCTGTCTTATTTGTGCCATCTCATTTGTATTATCCATTACATTCAGTTAGCCTTTCACGTTTGCGGACAGAAAGCCCGACTCCACTGATGAGTCCCAGCAAATGTAAATCACTCATCCGCTGTCCACATAGTACGGAGCTTTTGTTACCCAGCCACCCGTGCTGTTGGCTCCCGGACCCAGATTAAATAACTTTCTCTTATTCTCCACCTACGACTGACCACCTCTCTTCTCTAATAAAAAGCAATACATTTCCCCCTCTTCTTAGCTCACAATCCGCATGACGCTATCTTGTGCGGTGGCTTGCGATGTTGTGGCATTTCGACGCTATATAAATCCAAAATCATATGTACACACATATATATCTCCAATTGCAATGCTCACGGCTGCCACCATTTGCTAATCTACCCACAAATATGTAGTTAAGTACGTGACTCAATACGGATTGGGTGTGGCTTAGGAAATGTCGTGTTTCAGTGAATGTGCTCAAAAGGCATCATTAAAAAAAAGAATGTGACTGACCGTCTGTCTGCGCGTCAATTTGCAGCAACCGCCTGGAGCGATTCACGCACGGCACTTTCAACCCAACAGCCCGTGTTTGATTTCAGCCATGGCTAACATCAGTGGCGAGCAACAACTAACCAACTGACCAAATAACCACGGAAGCCCCACACCAGCTGCGTGAGCTCCAACCGTTAAAGGAGCCGACGCCCATCCGACCTCTGACCCCACCTCGCGAGCGCGCACGCACGCCGCACCTTGCAGTGTTGGCTCTCGATGGCAGCGAGTCGTGCGGTGACGCGGTCGCGCGTCCTCCTCCACTGCTGCACCACCGTATCGAGCAGCGCCGCCGGCGTAGAGAGTCGGTGGCGCGAGCCCCCGGGGGTCCCTCCGGGGCTCCCCGCGGGGGTCCCCTCGTCCCCCCCGTCGCCGGCTTCGCCCAGCTCCCAGTCCCGCTGCAGCGCTCGCAGGGGGTCTCCCAGGCGGTAGCGGCCATAACGCTCGTGCATGAACTCCTCCCGGCTGTGCGCCTGGAAGAGGGGGCATCGGCGGTGACATCGTCATCACTATCATCAATGGTTTCATCATCATCGGATTCAGCCTTATGATCATCGCTGTTATCATCGTCATTATCAAAACCATTCATGCTATTACAATCAGGCGTGTAAAGAGTCTCCCTCTTCACATTTAAATTAATTGCCACGACTCGGGGGTCATGATTTAGGAATATATATTTTCTTCTCGTACACGGCAGTGAACGGAGCATGCCTAGTGGCTGCACGGGTTATGTAAACGCATTTATCTTCCTGTGACGTGTAGAAATGTTACAGACACCGATTCTCTCGCGCACGATTCGACGTGTGCGTAATGAACGCGATCGATGGCGCGAAGCATCGTCACAGGGTCCCTTCAGGGTCCAGATCCCGGGTACTGCTTGGATGAGCGATCTCGAGCTCTTACCATCAACCGGGGGTCTGTCCGGGTCAGTGATCCAGGAAAATATTTCCACACCCGGCACACCGTATCCAGCATACCACTCGCTCTCATGGCTGTGGCAACAAGTGACGTGCCTACTCCAGTCGACCAGCGGCCTGGAATATATTCAGTGATAAAAGAAGCTCAGGTGAGCACCACCATGGGAAGATACAAACCAGGTGGTCTATATAGGTTGTGACTGCAGGGCTATGTTGTGGGCAGCTGAGAGCAGTGCAGACAAATTGAAATTGTTGTGCGGTACTTCTATGCTCACGCATCCACGCTCCCTGCCTTCACAGCCTGCGCTGACCAGCGTAGTGACGCGTGGTCAAATATCCCTCGCGCCCTCGTCCGGAAAGTTAATCGAATATGTGCTGTACAGTACTTCTTTAATTATTATTACGATGATGATGATGTACTAGAGAAGGAAAGGATGTCTACATCACAAAGGCCGCCTTCACCTAACAGTAACCCAACGGGAAGTTGCAGGGAGCAGCATGGAAATGACAGCATCCCGCGCGCCACGCAGCTGCAGGGCAACAGGGCGAGGAGAGGGACTCCTCCCCCCCCCCCCCCCCCCCCCAGTGGCAGAAAACAATTCCGCTGCCACGTCCCACAATGAAGAGACGCGATACGCGCAAACAGCGACGGTGGCGAGGCACCGCCGGCCGTGCGCTGTGACGATGCCGACTCGATTTCCAAAGCGCGTTGGGGATTCTTGCGCGTTTCCCTGAAATATACGTTGCGTTGTTATAAATGACAGGCCCCCCCCCCCCTCTTTGTCAATCAACTGGTGTTCACGTGGGTTGTATGCATCTCGAACTTCTTTCGCACCACACACAACCAACCGTGCTAATCGGAGGTGCACTGGCAAGTGTACAGCCCAGTTCGCTAACCACTGCGCCACCGCTCCACCACACTACATATTTTACAATTAACAATTATACTTCACGTGCCATTGGTTGAGAAGAAGAATTATTAGAATATTCCTGCTGCGTCATTGCATTCGGAATTGGCACAGCCTAAGATCGCTTGAATTGAAATATTTACTTTGCGATGTTTCCAACGTTTTATTTTACATTTAAACGCGTAATGTAGTTCTCTTCGCCCTCGTACGGCGTTCTGATGTGGTTGCAATTAGACGCTGCATAAAGTTAAATTGTTTGCCGTTGAAGACAGCTTTGCGTGCATAAATATTATAATTTAATGTTGGCAGGCACACACTTGTTTCTGGCTGTCGAATTAGCAGCACAGCTCGACTAAGTGCTCCGAATTTGGAAACGGGTATAAGATTAGTGTCTTGTGTTGTGTTTAGCATAACCATTACACAAACTACTCCATGCAAGTACTCCACACACACACACACACGGCTGAATGATGATAATGATAATAATACTGCTATCGTATTACGTGTTTGTGCCATCTCAGAACTGCACTGAAATATCTTCTTGGTTCTTTCGGTAAAGTCGCATAGATAGAAATTAATAAAATAATAAAAATAAAACATAATAAAATAATTCTCACGACGTTTCGGCCACAACGCAAGTAGCCGTCTTCAGGTGAAGAACAGGTCTGTCAAGGAGACAGAATCTGACAAACCTGTTCTTCACCTGAAGACGGCTACTTGCGTTGTGGCCGAAACGTCGTGAGAATTATTTTATTAGGATTTATTTTTATTATTTTATTAATTTCTTTCTACGTGACTTTACCGAAAGAACCAAGAAGATGAATCCCTGCAGTCACGAAAGCTTTAAATCGAAAATCCACTGAAATAATTTAATATCCATCTACCTTTTCTCCTCACAACTATCATTGCAAAAGACACATTGTCCCAATCTTTAAATGTTGACCTTCTAAATCCCATTAGCCACCTCCCTTAACGAGGTCAAATCGTTCGAGTTGGCTGTTACCTGCGAAGGTTAAACTGCAGCCGAGAGAATGAAACGAAAAACGGTCTAATCGGATTCACCTGTAATGGAGGCAAAGTCATTTTTCTGCGAATATCACCAACGATGTACGCCGCTTAAAGTTACGTTAAAACGTACGATTACCACAGTAATACTGCTGTGAATTCTGGCCTTCCCAGCTGAGCAGGCCAGTAGCATGAATGATCATTCATGAACATCAACGTTAATTAAATGCGTTGACATTAAACATTAAAGGGTGCCACGGCAAAGAGATGTTTACTGCAACAGAGAGGAGACTTTGCCTCACCTGTAACCCACCAACGCTCCCGCTCATCGGCCTGCGGTGCATGTCCAGCGTTTTAGATTTGGCTTCGTCCCATTTAGAGGCGGTGACATTCAGGTAAACGATGCACACCGACGCATCTGCAATGACGCTAATCACTGTTATTCTCAGGTTTTTTCGGTAAAGTCACGTAGCAGCGTGCTTCAGCCGCACCGAACCCTCACAAAAAAATAATATTCAGACCCTACCTTGGCTCCTCCCACCCTCAACCAGTATATATATACAAGGACTGTTTTCTTGGTATTTCTCTCACTTGATACAGCTATCGTGCTGTGACGGTTCCACCTGAAGACGGAAGCTTGTGTTGCCTCCGAAACGTTGTGATTTTTATTTTATTTTTATTTTACTTTTATTAATTAAATTTTTTTACCTACGTGACTTTACCGAAAAAACCCAAGAATATGAATCCTTGCAGTCACGAAAGCTTCAAATCTAGAGCTAATCACTCTACCCGGGGGATGCCTCACGGGACCCTAAAGACTCTCCCCCCCCGCCCCCCCCCCCTTTCACAAGGGCCCTGTTGCATTGGGATGGTTTTGCCAATTCCATTCATGAATTGTTTGGCTTCACGTATGCACGTTGAGTTTCTTTTGCACCGCACGTTGCCAACCGTGCTAACCGGAGGTGCGGGATGGGGTGGGGGGGACAGCAAACTAAACACACACAAATCAGTTCTAAACAAATGAGTTTGTCAATCTGTACGAGGGAACAGGAGTAAGTGGAGAAGACCCCCCCCCCTACCCCTGCAGATTAACACGTGGAGGTGACGCTCAGCACGGCAATCTCCTGGCCACACCTCGCAGCCTCCCACCTACAGCACCTGGCAAGCCCTGGTGGTCACCTGCCCAAGCACTAACAGAGTCAATGCTGCTTAGCTGTTAAGATCTGATGGGATTGGGCACAATTATAGTGATTTCGTCATAGGCTAGTTCATCATATGTGACTATGTATTGTGGTGTGTTCCAATTCGGTTCTTTGGTTCGTGGCCTCTTGGCACGTAACTATGCATCGATTAAAGCCAAATCGTCCGCGTGAAAACACACAATTATTTTCAATTCGTATGTGTAATCGGTTCACTTAAACGCTGCAGCTGAGCAAGGCGTGGTGGTGCAGCGTTTAGCGCATTGCGCTCATTAACCCGTTGAGATTCATTCCTGGCCACCAATGCCAGTAGTAGCAAGTAATGTCTATATTTTTCGATTTAAAGCTTTCGTGACTGCAGGGATTCATCTTCTTGGTTCTTTCGGTAAAGTCAGGTCTGTCTTTTCGACAGACCTGTTCTCCACCTGAGGACGGCTGCTTGCGTTGTGGCCAAAACGTCGTGAGAATTTATTTTATTATGTTTTATTTTTATTATTTTATTATTTCCATTCTACGTGACTTTACCGAAAGAACCAAGAAGATGATGTCTGTATGTTGAACTTCTTTAACACCGTATATAGCCAACAGTGATCATTGGAGGTGAGGGGGGAAGGACAACAACGAAAACACACAAAACAACTGTTTAAAAAAAAAATTCAAACTAGATTTTAAAATGCATAGCTCCAGTGGCTTCCTGATATCAGAAGGAACATCAGCAGAAGAGCATCTGAAAGGGCATGATGCGGTCACTATCTTTGTTTGATGGTTAGCCAAAAGCCGTTGCTGCTGCTGCGAGGTGTTGTGGTTAATTTGTGGCAAGCACTTTGCGTGCAACGAGTGCGAACTTAAACCGTGCTAATCGGAGTAACAACTGAACCGGTCCTGGACACCGCCGTTCACCAACCCGCACTGACCAGCGTGGTGAAGTACGGTCAAACAACCCCATGAAGGGCCACGGCACGGGACGGCCTTCGTTCAGCAGCGGATTAACTCGTGGCTCTAAATGTTGCGAGGTGGTTTAGTCACCCGTCAGTGTCGGCACCCGCAGGACTCTTCGTCGCCTTCAAGATTCACGGCTCCCATGGCCCATGGGGAATTGCGAACGGTTAAGAACACGAGGGCGTTCGACCAAAAAAAACCATTATCGTTGTTGTACGAAGGGTCCTGCGGGTGCTAACACAAATGCACATGGGAAAGAAAAAAAAAGGAGGAACCCCCTGCCGTCACAAGAGATTTCACAAGCACAGAATCAGAACGTCGGAACAATGACAATTATTCATCGAACCGCGAGAAGGGGACCACAACTTGTCACAGGTCCGGCGAGCTGCAGTGTTGTGACTGTCGTACAACACGAAGCTTCGCTTGTGCCACCGAGATGAGTTCGGCGCACCGCCTCTTTTTTTACATCAAAACTGTAAACACGGTTTTTTTTGTCAAATAAATA